AGTTTCATTATGTCTTTTATTTATGTGTTGTATTTGAATAATTTGATGAGACTTTTATTTGCTTGGATTTGGTTATTGTGTAAGTTATTATTATTATTATTGTTATTGTTGTTGTTACTATTATTATTGTTATTATCTTGAAAATATAATATTTATTAAGTTTGATAAAAAATAGTTGCAAAAGATCTCAAACTCGGGCTCAATCTCTTAAGGTTCAAGCACAAATAATTGAATTTTTTGTCGAATATAAAAATCAAGCTTATTTTTACATATTAATGGAGCTTAATTGAGCAAACTCGAGTAACTCAATTTTGATCACGAATCGAGCTCAAGCTAAAAAAATAAAACTTAATTTTTGAAGCCGAATATCGAGGTACGAGTTAAGAGTTGGGAGTTAAGAGTCGAGTTTGAACTCGAGCTTCTCATTGTATCATTTTGACTCGATTCAATTACTCCTTTATCATACACTGCCCCAAGTTTAAGACCAAGTAACGTACCATTTCAAACAATTATAACCTTTTATTCAAACTATCACTAAAAAAACATTGAAGTGACTTATCTACCCCTTAAACATTAAAAACATATTCATTTCAGCTAATAACTTTTAAAAATTATACAGTCAATTTATAAAATAATGGTATTTAATTATAAAATGATATTGATGCAATAAGTAATTTTTATTTTTTTCGATTTATAAAATAATTGTATTTAATTATAGAATGATATTAATGTAGTAAGTAATTTTGTATTTTTTATTTTTTTAAATAGTTAAACAATTAAATTATCAAACATTTTAATATTTTTAAAAGTAGGAAATATCAACTTACAAAATGAAAAACCAAAAAAATTTTACACATTTTTCTAACTATTGATTTTAATATATTTAAAGGATAAGATTAAATCATTTTTTATTTGTATTTGTCTCTTTCATCCCATTAATCCATTAAAATTAATAATTAAAAAAATATAAAATTTTTTTTAATTGTACACTATATAATTGATCTCTCCTAAAAAAACTATCAGTTTATGTATTTATATCATATAAAAAATTAATAATTTTTTGTATTTATATCATATTTTATATGAAATTATATGTTATAAATTGTGTTGAGATAAAAAATAAAAAATATATTTTATTAGTTTTTTGTTAAATTTATATTTTATTTTTTGTATTCATATTATATTTTAACCTGTGTCAATTTTATTTTTTTTATTGTATACTTTATCATGTTTTAAATTATTAAATTTATTTAATAATTAAGTGTTACACTGATTTGTTAAATGAAAAATATTGGCATACCGATCTAATATTACCTTTAAATTGCTAAGAAAAATTATTTAATCCATTATTTAAATTTCAAAAGTAAATAAATAAAATGATATATAAGTCTTAAGATATACTAAAAATTTTAAAAAATTAATTAGAAAAGTGAGATATGTAACCGTTTTTTAAATTTAATTATAAAATTAAAAAATTTCAGTATTAATGTACAAACGAATTCAATTGGCAGCGTCAATTACTTTATTTTAGTTCTTGTTTGGATGGAGCAAGGTTTAAAATTGGTTCTATTTTTGGTCGGTTGGGACTTGGGATCTGAGAACGTGGTTCTGGCTGAAGCATTTAAGAAGCGGTAGCGACAGACAGTCCACCATTACCGTCTGTAACTTTCAGCGGCCCACTTATGTTTGGACCAAACCTTTCTCTCACTCCTGTTCTCATTTTCTGTTCACTTGTTCCTCAAAACCCACTGCAATTCCCTAATGCAAACTGAAGTTTTCATTTGAATTTCATCACATTTTTAATGTGATATAATTAAACTTATTATATTATTAGTTGAATTTAAATATTAATTTTAATAAAATTTATTTAATATAAATTTTTTTGTTAAATTTATTTGTCAATTGTAATTATAAATTTTTTTTAATTATAATTATAATATTTTTTGTTACTGTTTTCAATTTCACCATGGAGAAGTATGACTCTTCAGCAAAAAGGAGATAACTATTAATAAGTTCACAATTTGTGGGGAAAAGGGGGCTATCCACAGCTCATTGTGATATGAACTACATTCAAAAGCCATTGGATTTGCAACTAAATATTTAGTTAAATGATTGATGCATATATTTTCTTGCATTAAAAGTATATACTTCCTTCATCTAAAATTATTTGGATGTTATTGATTTTTATCGAATTAAAAAAATTTTAATTTTAATTTTAATAAATTTAATATTAAATTTTTAAATGTTTTATAAAATTAAAGTTTTACGGTTTCCATGTAAAAAAGTAAAAATATCATAAAAATAATTTTAAAATATAAAAAATAGAAGTCTTGGATGTTTAAAAAGGAAAAAAAGATATAATTTTAGAACATCCGAAAAAAAAAGAATAAATAAAATGAGACGAAATTAGTAACTTTTTGTAAAGAGAATGTGGGATTCACGAGCTTAATCTGATTTTGACAAGATTTTGAATAAGAATTTTCAAATATAAACCTATCTTGATTTGGTTTGGAAAATTAATTTATTAATAAATTTATAATTATTTAATTTTAATTTTAAAATATATTTAAAAATATTCAAATATTAATATAAAAAATATTAAGAACAACATCATTTGACATTTTTACGTTAATCTCTTTTGATAAATCGATTTATAAATTTCATAAAAATTTTCAATAAAATCTACATGTCCCGATTTTAAATGATTACTCAAAGTTTTATTGCATAGAAAAAACAATATGGCGAGAAAATCGGCAAAATTTTACAGAGTTAAAGTTCATTTGGATGGATAAATTGATTTAAGTTAAATTAAAAATAATGATAAAAGTGTGATTAGTTATTATAAATATAAGATTAAAATTAATGATGAAATATGTATTTATATGTAAAAATAACGATGAGAGAGATAAAAATAAAAAAATTATCATTGAAGATTTTATTTTAAAAATATATTAATAAAATATTTTATGCATATTTTTATATTATTTATATTATTTAAAATCTTAAATTTTTTATTTCCAATCAAAATATTAATATATATTATTTATTATATAACAAAATTTATTTATTATATTAAATTACCAAAATTATTTTAATATTTTTAAATAAAAATAAAAATGAAAAACAGAAAATGACATGAAAATGTTTGTTGAAGCACCAACATTTTAAGGGTAAAAATAAAAAAATAATATACAAAGTAGAAAACAAGAGATGCAGTGAAATTCTTCTCGCAGGCAATGGAGAACTAGAGGCAAGCGTATGTCAATGATGCTTTGCAAACCCCATCATGACGAGATTGGAACTAAAAAAAAGTGCAAATGGCACAGAAATGCATGTGGGATCCAAATGATCCCTTAGGACAATAATAAACTATTCAAGATGATCGTACGGTACTTGAGTGAGCTTGACCTCATTGAATCATAAACACCACCATCTCTCCAAATTGCATATTCTAACCGGTGTCGCAAGGGAGAGAGAGAATATGCTAAAATCTTATGTTCACGTGTGAATTGGCACGTGTCATTGCGGGGGTGGGGGTAGGAAGACTTACATTTGCATACGAAGTGGGGAGGGTTGGTGGGCTTTTACTTTCCCCTCCCCCTTTCCCCACTTCAAAAAGTCAGGGCAGGAAACTCTTTGTGAATTGGTGAGTGGTCTTTTTGTAATTCCATCATTTCTCATTCTTTCACTTTCATCACTTCCAACAAAAGTGTTGGACTCAAAACCATGACGAAAACTGGTTAGGTGACAGCTAAAGGCGGAATTCGGGAAATATTATTCCTCCTTACTTAAGAGCTAAAGGTCATCTTTTCAAGCTTTGGCTTGGCTTAACTTGGGTTTCCTTTTATTTTAGTAAAATTATAGTAGCAATCCAACTTCCATGAATGAGAAAATTATGTGAAAGATTTTACTTTACACACTTTCTAAAGAACAAGCTTTTGTGTTTTATTTAAATTATATTTACAATCAAACTCATAATTAAATAATACATTTAGATAATTAATTATTACATTATTAAATAATTAATTAATAAATTTTAATTTTAATTAAATAATTAAACTTACACAATAAAATTTGAACTTAAAGTTTTAAAATTTTAAAATTTCTTTCTTATCATTAAATCAAGATTTTATTGACAACAAGCTTTTGTACTTAAGAATGAAAAAAAAAATTAGACTCTTTCTTTTCATTTTCATTACTCATAAATTTGTAACGTAAACATTCTATGCATTGAAATTTCATTTAATGGAAATCCACAAAATTTATGAGTCATAATTGAAAAAGAATAAATCTTAATCTCTTTTTAGGAAAAAATATTTAATCTTTTTTAATATTCAAATAATTCACATAAAAACATGAGTTGTTGAAAGCAAAAAAAGGTAAAGTGGGATAAAAGAGCATAAGCATGTAACTTAAAGTTTAATTTAATTATTTTATATAATTAATTTTAAAAAATAATATTTAATAAATTTAAAATATAAAATATTTATAGGATTTTTTATTTTAAAATTATAATATTTTTATAAAAAACAAAATCTGTGAGAAAAAATTAATCTCGAATATAATTTTTAATTTTTATTTATTAATTAATTTTAGTTTGATAGAAATAGATCAACATAAGATATTTCATGTTTCTCTCCGTATACAATTTAAAATAAAATTGTCCATATCAAATGTTGCAAAAACGTTAGGCTGACACATTCGGCTCGGCTCTACACTGCGCCGCGTGTAATTATACAATGCGGTCGGTAGGTGAGGAAAGGAAAGATTCAAAGAATCCCCGATCATGTTTGGACAAAGACAAATATATTTTTTCCAAAATACCCCCAAAAATGTAAATTTCCTCAAACACCCCTAATCCCAACTACCACCAAAACCACGTCCCCACTGGAGACCAGTCTCTCTCACCGTCACATTTTTTTTTTTTTTTCATCTTAGTTGGCCCTCATGCGAAACATAACCCCAAAAAAACACAAGCGAAGTCTTGCCCCTTCTCTTATAAAACCCTCATTTGTCTTCGTCTTTACCTCTTCAGGTACCGACCTCTCCCAAAAAAAAAAAAAAAATTCATTCCTTGACGAAAATGGCTCTCACCAGCTCGTCCATTCTTCCCACCAAATCCCTCCTGCAATCTCAGCCATCAAGGCCTTTCATTAAAGCCAAGCCTTTGTCCGTTGTTCGAATCTCTGCCGTTCATTCATCCGACTCATCTAAGAACCCCATCGTCTCCGATAAGTCTGCTAAGCAGCCAGCAACTGCTCCACTCGCCGCTACCAAATCTGCTGCTGCACCCGCCACTACTCCGCCGCAAAATGCGGTTCCCGGGAAATGGACCGTTGATAGCTGGAAGTCAAAGAAGGCGTTGCAGTTGCCGGAATATCCGGATCAGGCGGAGCTTGAGTCGGTTCTCCATACCATCGATGCTTTTCCTCCGATTGTCTTTTCTGGAGAGGCTCGGAGTCTCGAGGAAAAGCTCGGGGAAGCTGCCATGGGAAACGCTTTTCTGTTGCAAGGTGGAGACTGTGCTGAGAGTTTCAAAGAGTTTAACGCTAATAACATTCGTGACACTTTCAGGATCCTTCTTCAAATGGGTGCCGTATTGATGTTCGGTGGTCAAATGCCTGTTATCAAGGTAAGAACTCAAAACTATCCCAAACAATTTAATATTTTTTTATTTTCACGTAAGAGTTTGCTTATGTCTCTGTTTTCTTTTCTTTTTTGTTTTTTTAGGTGGGAAGAATGGCAGGGCAGTTTGCGAAGCCGAGGTCGGAACCATTCGAGGAAAAGAATGGAGTGAAGCTGCCGAGTTACAGAGGAGATAATGTGAACGGGGATGCTTTCGATGAGAAGTCTAGGATTCCTGATCCCCAAAGAATGATTAGAGCTTACTGTCAATCTGCAGCTACTTTGAATCTTTTGAGAGCTTTTGCTACTGGAGGTTATGCTGCTATGCAAAGGGTTACTCAATGGAATTTGGATTTTACCGAACACAGCGAGCAGGGAGATAGGTAAAAAATTTTAGATCTTGGCTCAATTGGATTTGCTTTTCTCTTTTTAGTTTGGTTTGGTTTGGTTTGATTCAGTCTACAATTTCTATCTTGTTAATATTTCCTTGGAATTTTCTGATGCAGAATAAGGTGGTTTAATACGGAATTCGTGATATTTGGTCATTTTCACTTGTTTTGTTTTGTTCTTTACCTGTAGTTTGAATTTCTGCTTTGTTTAATGGATAATTTAAGTTTGTAATTTGTATGTGCCGTTTTATCTATGTGGCAGCAAGTTTTATTGTTTTTAGAAGTTCTCCAAGGTACCCTTATTTTTGGAAGTTGGAAATTTTGTTTGAGTGTTCTTTTGATTGGTTATTTAAGAATCCACAAGTTTTGAACCTGAACTTTTATCAGTTGATTTATACTTTCATTTGTTTTTTCCTTTTTGTCATGTGCATGAATGATGGAGTTTATATTCTAAACTCTTTGTAACTCCGACATCACATGGGGATTTTCCTCTTGAAGTTATGTTTTGCTTCATTTATTTTGCTTTTTTGGGCTGGGTCTTTGATTGCTGTTCTATACTCCTTTTATGGTAAAAAAAAAGATCATAACTTTTGAAAAGGTTAAATTCACATTTACTTACCTTTTCCGGTACGTGGCAGGTACCGAGAACTAGCTCATCGCGTTGATGAGGCCCTTGGATTCATGGCTGCGGCTGGACTTACTGTTGACCATCCTATCATGACAACCACTGAATTCTGGACATCCCATGAGTGCTTGCTCTTGCCATATGAACAGTCACTTACCAGGCTAGATTCTACTTCAGGCCGTTACTATGATTGTTCTGCTCATTTCCTATGGGCTGGAGAACGTACTAGACAATTGGATGGTGCTCATGTTGAGTTTCTGAGAGGAGTTGCTAATCCTCTTGGAATTAAGGTAATTACATCTAAGTCTACTCTGTAAGCAATTATAGGTTTGTAAAAAGAAGTTAAACAAATTCTTCATTGAAAACCAAGGTGCATGAAAGTTCCCAACTAAATGAGCTGAATGTTGGATCAGGTGCTATATTGTCAAATTACATTTTTATGTTTTCTTGTTAAATTATGTTTTTTTAAATATTCAGTTATTAACTCTTGTCTAAGAATGAACTAGGTATTGAAATATGGATCTTATACATCTAAATTTAGTAATTTGCTGAATTACTTGTAAGGCAGACCCTAATTTGATAAGTGTCCTGTTGTAATACTTGTTTTTTTTTTTCTTTTTGGGAAGAATTATGAGTTTTGATCAGAAATTGGTGAGACTGAGATCAGTAACAAAGAGGCTCTTCTGCTGCAGGTTAGTGATAAGATGGATCCAAACGAGCTAGTCAAGCTGATTGAAATTTTGAACCCTCAGAACAAACCAGGAAGGATAACTGTGATCACAAGAATGGGTGCTGAGAACATGAGAGTGAAGCTTCCCCATCTAATTAGGGCAGTCCGCCGGGCTGGGCAAATTGTCACTTGGGTTAGTGATCCTATGCATGGAAACACCATAAAGGCTCCTTGCGGTCTCAAAACTCGTCCATTCGATTCCATAAGAGTATGTTACTCAAAACTTAGCCTCTTACTGTTAAGGATTAGTTACTGATAATTCACTATTGGGCATAAATTGTCATTTGGCTTGTGAGTCACTTCATTTTAAATTATGGAAACCTGGGAAACTACAGAGTTTGAGTAAATAGTTTCTCTGACATCTTTTGCTGTAGAACTTTTACCTTGTTCACAATAGGAAAGTGTCATAGTAAATGAGGACTGTAATTAGCATAAATGATGTTTCCCACTATGAACATGACAAGATAGGCTAACTTTTGATGCTAGAGAAAATGGAGTGCATTCTGTTTGCATCTAGAATCGATTTTATATTGAAGTTTTAGCTTAAACCTGATTCTCTTTGCATCTGGTTATTGAATCCTTTAGTAAATGAGGTATGGCTATAAATAATTGCTTTATGTTTAATGCAATTACCAAAACTATGGTAATAAGCATGATTTTAGCATTGATAATTCACTCTTTAGAGCATTTGTGGTGTAAGGAAACCAAATTAATCCTTTGGGGTGGTTGCATTTTGTAGTTTCAAAGGAAAACTATTGCATTCACTAGGGAGAGACCGAGAGAGTTTTGAAGTAAAACATATAATAGTGGGGTAGGTGGGCAAGGGACTATTTCTTGAAGTTGTTTGGACCAAACTTTCCAGTGTGATTACTTAAACATGATCATAAAAATTTAGGTAAGAAATCGTCTTCGGTAGGTAAGTGGTCAAATTTCCCTATCCTATGATTGATTCAAACACATATTGCAATATAAAATCTCTTCAAAGCCTACTTTTGAGGAGCCTCAATTGACTTTGGATACCACTTGGAAAGATCCTGTTGTTTTGTTCCTTCTTTTATGTCTACCAAATATTTAGATGGAAATTTAATAGTTTCACATAAAATGTGAATGATGTCATACCTATATGTTAATTTCATAGAATAACATATCCATTTGTTTATGTTTCAATATCATAAGTAATTGACATTCTTTTTGGCAGGCTGAAGTGAGAGCTTTCTTCGATGTGCACGACCAAGAAGGAAGTCATCCTGGAGGAGTTCATCTAGAGATGACCGGCCAAAATGTGACAGAGTGCATTGGTGGATCACAGACTGTTACATTCGATGACTTGAGTTCCCGCTACCATACCCACTGTGACCCTCGGCTTAACGCGTCACAATCTCTTGAGCTTGCCTTCATCATCGCAGAGCGGCTTAGAAAGAGGAGGATCAGCTCACAGCAGCCTCTGGTCACAGGCGTATAGAGTGACCGCTAGCCCTCTAATATGTTTGTTCTTTTTTTTTTTTTTTTCGCTGAAGTTTTTACTTGCACTTTGTTAGTATTATATATGTAAAACAAACTTTGGGATTCTTGAGTTATGTCCTGTATTGTATCCGTGCATACCGGTAGAAAAAAGACGGCTTCGAGAGGAATAAAAAATTAAGCTATGAATGAATTCTAAGATTGTTGACATCAAAGGCTGAATTATCCTGTTTTGGTGACTGGAAATTATAGAAATTTTAACACTGACTATCGAGATTTTAACTTTAATCATTGGAATTTTGGAATTATTGAGATTTTAACTCTGATTATTGAAACTTTGAAATTAAAGTCAAGTATTTGAAGTTTGATTATTGAAACTCTATAATTAAAAGTCTTTTTAAGTATTTTATCCGCACAACATGGGATTATTAGCAGAATTAAGTTTTCAAATGAAAGAGGTGTAGGTAAAACTTAGGTCAAATTTTATCCGAGATTTTATATTTTGTAAAAATTTAAAATTTAGTTTATATGTTGTAATTTTTACAATTTTAATGATCTTATTATTTTGATTTGATAATTTTAATTTAATCATTAATTCAGTTAATATTTTATTGTTATAATGTTGACGTGACTATGATATGTTAAGTTTATTGAAGTTGAATTGACTTACTAACGTAATAATTTAAATGAATGAAATCAATTGTTAAATTATATAAAAGAGTTTTTACTCATACAAAATTTAAAATTTAATTCATTTACTTGTACAAAGTTTAAAATATACTCTCTTTAATATAAAAAAAATATTTTGAATTTTTTATAAAATTTTTAATTTTTTAAAAATATTAAATTTACTTTTCTCAATATTTTAATTTTTTAATTTCATTTTTTTAAAAGTTTTTGTATTTTGTATTTTTTTTTAATATTTAGAAATTTAGAAGTTTTCTATAAATTTTCTGGTTTTTTAAAACATTAAATTCAATTTTTTAATTTTTTAAATAAAAATTAATTTTTAAATTTTTATGTTTTCAAATTTTAACATTTCATTTAATCAAAATATTTAATTTTTTGTTTCTAACTTTTTAGAATTTTTATAAAATTTTCTATATTTTCTTTTTTTTTGAGAATATTTTATATTTTATAATATTTAAATGAATAAACAAACCATATTATAATTTGTTTTGTTTGATTTATTTGAGAAGGAAAAGCATAAAAATTTGGGTAAAACATAGAAATAACAAAATACCAATAGCTTTTGATACCGATTTATTTTTCACTTGAATAAGATAAAAAAAATGTAATTCTTTTTTAAAACATAAAATATTATGAAATTTTTTTGAAAAACATAAAAATTCCAAAAAATTAAAAATAATAATTTATTTTATTTTACTTAAATAAAAATGTTAAAATTTGAAAAGTACGAAACTTTAAAAAAAATGATATTAAAGATTTCAAAATACTAAAAAAATTAAACATAATATTTTTAAAAAACTAAAAAATTTATAAAATAAATTCAAAATATCTTTTATATTAGAGAGATTAAATTTTAAATTTCATATAAATATAATAACTATTTGCATAATTAATAACAATTTTATTTATCTAAATTGTTATATTAATAAGTCAACGTTACGTTAATAAAGTTAATTGTTACACTAATATTTTTAATAACAAAAAATTGATTAAATTAATGATTAGATTAAAATTATTAAATTAAAATAGTATGAGAGTTAAATTTATATGAATTATAATATATAAATTAAATTTTAAATTTTTGTAAAATATAATGCCTCTGGCATGATTTAACCTAAAACTTTTGCTGTATTCTTTGTTGATTCAAAGATACAAAAAAATGTCCTGAACCCTTTGAGATTAAAGAGCTCTTGCGAAAACATAAAAATTTCGATTTCTAATCAACTCTTTTCCTTTCCCCATGGGCTACATCTATCTCATATCTAAAAAAAAAAAAAAATCTTAAAGCCCGTAGGCTATAACCATAGGGCTGAACTAGTCTATCTAACTAAAAGTCATGACGTGCATGTAAACACTAGTCGTGACTAATTTTCATTAATTTATTTTAGCAATATTTATTTAGCAATTCAAATGATTTCTCAAAATTAATTCCTAACAATTTTCATTTTACATTTTGATTTTTTGAAAAAAATTTTTTTTTTATTTTTTTAAGTTTGGAATCTTATTTCAATTTTTCTTAAAAAATTAGTATTCTTTCTTACACCATGAAACCCCAAATGCTCTCCATGTTACAATGCAAGTTGTTAATAAATTCATTTAATCTTTAACAAGTGAACAATAAATTTCAAATATAAATCCATTGACATAACTAAATACAATTCTTAAAACGCGAATTTGAACATAATCATTGAAGATCAATATATATCTACTTAATTCATTCAAAACACAAAATTACAACCCGTTGCATGAATAAGAGTAAGATTAATAAATGCATAAATATTTGACAGATACAATGCAAGGGACAATGGAAAATGCTTATGGTTTTTTATATGATGCCTATTCCTTTAACCAAGAAAATTACACTGTAATTTGATATAAGAAGAAAAAGGATAAAATAAAGTCTTTATTTGTTAATTTAGTCTATTGATAGTATCTGGCCAGTAGCAAAATAGGGCATGCCATGGTGATGAAAATAGGATATTCAGGATTTAATTTGGTGACAAAGGTTGTTGATGGAGATGGGTGTGAAGGTATAGTAGCACCAAAAATATTTGAGCTATTTGAATTAATAATGTTTAAGACAAAAGAACTTGCGTTGTAATTTTATCATTAGCAGTGATTTGATTTATACTCTCAATTAGGTGAAAAAAAAAAACGAAAGAAAAATGAAAGCAAGTTAGGTAGGCTTGAGAGATAGGAAAGTTTACCTTGTGGGTTGATACTGATATGTCTTAGTATTTGAAATCATGGTCCAGATCAATAAATCTTTAAATTTATGGGGAAGTGGGGTGCACGTGGACATTGGTCTAAAAAATCTATAACTTTATAGTGAATATGATGGGAATAAACTGGTATTTTATATATGTTTTATGATTGTTTTCAGTAAATTATGTTGAATTTTATTATTAGAAATCAAATATTGGTAATTTAAATCTACACTCATATATAATAGCAGTCCTCAAACTGCAATTGATAATACACATCAGCGATGTATTAAAAAAAGGTTAAAGGTATTTTTGGTGAAAAGCTTTTCTCCAGAAGCTTCATTTGTTTTCATTCAGAGAAACTTCATTTGTTTCTCACAATTTGGTCTTCCAGTTTATATTTATGGTTTTAAAACCTCTCAAAAAATCTAATGTCCTATCTTTGTTTTTTAACAATCAATTTTTTTTTTCTTCTTTAGCATTTTTAATTTGCGTGCATTTGTAAATTTCTAAAAAAATAGAAAGAAATTAATTAAACCTCATTACATTGATCGATCGGGTGGGGAGAAAAGAAAAGAAACGACATGTTGTGGTTGAGAATGGCGATGAACAAAGTGATGAAGGTTGGAAACAAGAATAACCTCACTCAAAACATCAAGAATCATGCCGATATCGTTGTTTATCATGCTAGCTGTCACTGAAAGAGCCAAACTTTTTCAAGATCGCATTGTAATTTCTTTATTATTATTTATTATTATTAGTATTATTTATTTGCATATTGAAGTATTGAGGCTAGATGTTAGTAAGTTTGAAAGGTTTGCATGTTGATATATATATATATTTAATTTTGGAATTTTGGAGTAACATTTTAAGAAACTAATCTCGATCGAAGTAGTAATATCAAGTTTGAGAAGGATATCTTAGACATAACATGGTGTGGTATACAAATTCTATTTGTCATCTTAAATAAGAATGATAGAGCAATTGCAAAGTTTGGCGTTGGGATTGAAGAAACATATTCATGTTTATTGCAGTTTGTTTAACTTCATAGCAAATTATTTAAATAGATTAAGATAAAGCTTACATAGTTTGTATTTTTTTTGTTAAATCTTGTTTCAACTTTTTCAGATAGGAGGAGTTCTATCAAGATATAGTTGTGAAGAAGGTTGGTGCATATATTGGAACCTTTGAACATAATAAGCCAGATTCTTAAAATAAAGAACTTGGTTTTAGTCAAGAAAGTTACTTGCAATTGTTTGGCCTTTGTTCTTTTACATCATCACAGCTTCATGAAATTGAGCCTTCTTTAAAAGGTTAGAGGCTGGTAGAATGGTATGTGGCGTTGGCCTAAAATTGTTGAAGCTTTTCCTTTGGGTTAAATACGAAAGTATCAATTTCTTTTTCCTGTGATATTCATCTCATTGATGTTGGTGACTTAACTATAGTGAGGCTATGTTAATCATTCTAGCTTTTATTGTTATACTTATTTGATTTTATGATTCAGATATGATAAATTAGCTAGAATTCCTTTTGTCATGACATCTAGATTAAAGCAAAGTTTTGATAGGTGCTTTTGGCAGGTAGTCAAAAGTGACTTGTTTTTCTGTATGGCTTTATCATGCTGGAAAATCTGTCATTATTAACGAGATGGCTTATGATAGTGGGAACCATGGTATTCTATTTTTTAAATATATTCTTTTATTAATTTTTTATTGTTATGCCAATTTATAATTGATATATTTGTTGAATGAGTAGGATGCAGTTTCAGCAACTGAAATATAAGTGAGATTTTTTTTGTATCTTCTTAGTGAAATCGTTCAATTTATCTGGTATAAACTTGTACTATGTAAATTAAATAATATATAAAATATTAGTGTTTTGATACTTTGGTATTATTTAGTTATTATTATCTATGGTAAATTGAAGCTTTCCAATATGCCATAATGAGATTGTATGTTGCATTTCACATTTCACTTATTAGAAAAAAATAGAGAAAGGTTGTAGTTTAAACTTGCAACAATTAGCTTTTGCCTATGTATTGTCAGATTTAATGGTTAAATTAATTTGATACCTTAATGTCTTCTATACTTTGGCTTGGAAAACAAATTATTTTCTAGTTTATCTTGAAATTTTGAATTTTATGAGTTACCCCAAAGAAGGTTTAGAAAAGATTATTGTGCCTCATTAATTTCTTATAAGTTTATCAAGGAGTTTGTTATAATTTTTTTTTTTTTGTTGATAAGAAAACTTCATGAGGTATTCAACAAAAAATTTGATGATGAGTATGGAGTGAATATGCGAGGCTCATTTGAGAAATCTTA